ACGCACAAATTGTGCTCCATATAATATTTAGAACAACCAAATCAACGGAACGCGTTTATTCCATTATATATACTCCTTGTGTGAGCGCATACACAAATCTGTAAAAGAAGATTTAAAAGCTGTAAAGTCTGGCTTATTACGTTTGATTGTCACGTTTTTGCTTGCTGCAAATATGATTTTAAATTAAATGTTAATGGCTATGATTACACTGGTAATACGAGCACGAAAGCAACCAAAGAGATATACGGAAATAACGATGAAAAAAGTTACAAAATTATTTTATATCTACAATTGTTACAAAAAATTAGAAGACAGACGAGATCGCAGAATGTGGGTAAGACCCATATTTTCTGAACAACGAAGATTGTTACATAACCTTGCATGCGTTTACAGGCTTTTACATATGAATCTCGAAGTTGCCTCCACTTTTGTTTCGCTGATGTCAAAGTTAGCGATCCTACAATTTGCAAAATAAATTTTCAGTTTTCTTCTCAATTATATACAAGTATGTAAAATTATAAGTAATGTTACCTCCAAGCGCATTAATTATTTCTTGCCATTGAGCCTCTTTTTTAAATTTTGTTCTATCTTTTATTGCAATAGTATGATCCCATAGGTTCCTTCGTGCATGGACCTGATCAATTAAAATTTTGTCTACAGTTGACGAAGAAAATGTAGTCACTGGGCTGTCCTGAATCATCTCTTCGACTTTCTCAACTTGTTGCGCATCTTCCGTTTCATCATAGTTATTTCCTTCAAATATAACATAAGTGTTAAATTATATTACAACTATATATGATATATATATTGATAACAATTGTTATAGACAAAATGAAAATGTACGTATAATTTACGCATACTCATTGTGACGACAGCATTGTCGTTTATAACCAAGCATGCTTAGTTTTGTCATATTTTTGGAAGCAATGGTATGCAAGAGCATTTTTACAAGAGCCATGTAAAATGTAGCCGCAGTAGCCACATTTAAGCGCCTGATGCGACTCATGCAAAACAAAATCACATTTTAAGTTTTTTATTGCCATTGATAAAACATCATTGACAATTATATCTTTTCGGAACAAGACACAATTAAAAAAATAAAAAAATCTCTAAAAATTAACCCGTTACAATCAATCAAATTAAACATTTATAAATTTATAAACAATACAGTGATTATAACCTCTTCGTTGAAATTGAGGCTCAAGATTTTATGCAACATACTGAATTAAGTCTTTCTTCAAATTTAATTTCAATTGAATAAAAGTGCATAAAATTTATTATGTATGCACGAGATATTACTACTTTCAATAATGAAATAGTAAAAATACTTACAGAACTCGACATTATATATGTGTTGGTGCGCACAGATAGATAGTTCCGTGTTCCGTATTTCCGCATAAAATCCGCGGAAAAGCAGAACGAAATCGTACGGATCCCATTTAGTTACTAGTTACTATTCCACATTTAAGGTGCAATTTCATGCAGCGAAGCTTCGCTAGCGAAGTTCCCCCACTCCGCTGAAAATGCGTAAGCAGCGAAGAAACGCTCATAGTTGGATTAATGGAACTATCAGCGAAGCAACGCTGGCAACGCCAAATCGAAAAATGTGCTGTGATGTTTCGTGATGCTGTTGTGTTGTAGTGCAATTGTGTTGTAATTATGTACGAAAATATATGACAATGGATCAATACCTGCATTATAGAGAGCGATTGAAACGTCTATTTATTACAATTTTAATAGAACAGCAAGTTAAAAGACGACGTATAGCCGCAGTAGCTGCTGTGATACATCATGTGCAAAGTAAAAAACGAAAATATTTAAAAAAAAAATTTTGGATAGCACCCATTTTCAAAAATCGCAAAAAAAACAGTTTTTACTTTGCATCAGTTCCGAAATTAAAATTGGAAGACCTTCGTTTTCGAAATTATTTTCGAATGAGTGCAACTCAGTTCGAGGAATTGCTACAAATTGTCGGCACAAACTTGCAAAAGCAGAATGTTGTTCGGGAATCTATCTCCTCATCCGAACGCTTGGCACTGACATTAAGGTTTGTTTGAATTTGTTTATGTATGTTACGAACGTAATTATGTATTGAAAAATGAACGTAGAAAAATCACATGGTAAAAGTCATAATTTTTTAATAGAGCTCTCAGACATTTTATCATTACACAAATTAGTATTTTGTATCTAATTTTTAAATTATTGTAGATATATGGCATCTGGTGATTCCATGACATCGATGTCGTATCAATACCTCGTGGGAGTAACAACGGTTAGCAACATTATTCGAGAAACATGTACAGTAATTTGGGACAGTTTGCGCCCTTTGGTTCTACCTGGCCAACTTCAAGAAAAAGATTGGATAGATATAGCCAACGGGTTTGAGAAATGGAATTTCTCGCACTGCATTGGAGCTATTGATGGCAAGCATGTTGTCATCCAAGTATGTATATATATTTATAAGAATGTCTCAACACATAAAGTTGCACCAAAGTCATGTTATAACTGTGATTTAGCAACACTGGATTTTGTCAATATTACTCTATTTGGACTTGTCAATATTATTCTATTTGTACTTTAAAACAGCCAAAGTAGCATTGCTGGATCACTGTCATGCTATAAAAATATGTAGTTGAAACATGCGAATTCAATATACTTTGACTAGTGCAACTTTATGTGTTAAGACATTCCTATGATTGAGCATGCATTGATTACCAATACAAAACGTTTAGACGGAGTCATTAATGCTTTTCTATTTTATATAATTATACATTACGTATAAAAGGAAGGCATTAATGATCCTGTCTGTATATATAGTGTTCTCTACAAAGTAAATGAAATTAAATTAAAACAAAAATTTTTTGTTTTAGTGTCCCAATAAGGCCGGATCAACATACTTTAATTACAAGCATTCCCACAGTATAGTTCTCATGGCCATCTGTGATGCGAATTATATCATCCGTTTTGTAGACATCGGAAGCTATGGACGACGCAGCGATGGTGGCATCTTTAAAGACAGTGCTTTAGGAAAAGCTTTTGACGGAGGCCACATGAATGTTCCGCAGCCAACTGCTATTTCTGGCAATCTTGTTTTACCGTACTGTCTTGTGGAAGATGAGGCCTTCCCTTTAAAAGAGTATTTACTTCGTCCGTACCCAAATAGAGGACTGACACCGGAACAAAGCGTGTATAATTATCGTTTAAGTCGAGCGAGACGAACAATTGAAAATACCTTCGGTATACTCGCCAATCAGTGGCGAATATATAGGAAGCCAATTATTGCCAACCCTACAACTGCTGTGGGAATAGTTCAAGCAACCGTGTGCTTGCACAACTGGCTTCGGATAAATGACATTGGTGCAAGCGAATTTCTTGATATAGTTGACTTTGACGACCCATGCAATTCAAGTAATTTCACAGCTAGATCTTGGCCAAACGTCATGGATGGCTGTGCATTCAGAGATATTACAAATTGTGGCTCTAACGCAAGTGCCCGAAAATACATTAACATTCGCAATGAATTTTGTCATTATTTTAATGAGGGAGCGGTGCCATGGCAATGTAATCGTCCAAGTTAAAAATAAACAATATTTCCAATTAAAATGTAATTTTTATTTTATTATTTCCTTATACAAAAATTAACAAACCTAAGCATATCAAAAAGAACTAAGGCATGATATTTCAATGTAAAATTAAATATGCTTCTTGGAGATTTGTGCAAAATGTAATGCAAATTGCAAATAAAGGAAAAAATCATATACTATACATTAGAATTAAAGATTATTTAATTCTACTATCCAGCGATTGATTTCAATTTACCCGTGTATTTTTTTATTTATTGAAATAATCCAGAAATGATGTTTTTATTTATAAAAAAAAATCTATATCCTCTTACATTGATATTATTGATAAAAATAACAAAAAACGTCTTTTACAAAAAAAAAATATCTCAAAAATAAATTTTCAAACTAATTTGTGTCCTACAAAAAGCAATAATCATAATTAAAATCATTAAAATAATGATATTTTAAGGGTGACTTGAATAATTTATAAATCTAGCCAAATAGTGCTTATACCACATTTAAATCCTAAAATCGTTTTTGCTGATACTTCTTATACATATATCATTGAACAAAAATAAAGTAAAACTAGAAATTATTATAATTATATTCATTCTTATTGTTAATGGAAAATATGAAAGGATGATATAAGGAAGGTATCTTCTAGTAGGTATCTTCTTTAGTTTCCTTCAATGATAAAAGAACTAAAGACAGTGCAATGTCGAAATCAGGATGTAATGAGGTTTCTTTCATAAAATTTCTAAAATTTATTAGTTTGTACTTCAGGTAATAAAATAATACAATATATTAGCATGTCATTGGATGCCCTACCATTATGATATGTAACGAGTTTGTTTTACGTTACTCTTTACAATGAGTATCTTTATTACAATAAAACACGCACTTTTTCGCTAAATGTATACTATACAATAATTTCATTAATTCAAAATCATTGTATAAAGCTTTTTCTTAAAAATGTATTTAATAAAGTTATTAAAAATACTGAAAAGTGTTGCACTATTATCGATATGTAAATGTTACATATGAAAGAAGATAAAATCATTGCTTTCTAATCAGTTGACAAAATAAAAATTATAAAATATAAATTGAAAACATAACGCACAATAGCATTCTAGAGTCAAGGCACAAGATGTCCTTATACAAAAATTAACAAACAATACAAAAAGAGCAGCGACTGCAAAACGGAGGGATATATTCTCGATGCTGTTATATTGTACTTCTTTTTGCAGTTTTTACTTCAATTATTAGTTTAAAAATATTCAACATCGCTGCGTCCCGCAATTCCGGACGTACGTCACGAAGTTGAGCAGCTACGAAATTAGCAAATAACGCAGATATATCAGATTTGTCAGCAATCTGTGTACGAGATAAAACCGTCTCTATTTGGTCCACATTAAGGGACAATAGAAGATTCATGGCATTGACAACCCGATCCAGTGGATCTTCGGTCTTGCGACGCTTATCACTTCCTGCAAAAATATTCACATTGTATTTTAAATTCATGTTAATAAACGGCCCATAAAAATATACCCTTCAAATAAATTTTATTCAAATGAACATACGTGATTCACAACGTGATTCAGTGCTGCTGTTGTGGCTACCGTAAAGCGAAGCCGTCTCCAGTGAATCCTGCGAATTATAAAATTCCGGTAGCTCGATATTGCTGACAGTTCTGTAATGATAAGAAAATTAGATAATTACATACACACATATATACAATAAATGGTGTCATTTCACGACATAAGTCGACACAAGCATAATTTTGTTTTTGTTGTTCACTAGTGTTAAAAAAAGAATAATGCTTGTGTCAACTTGTGTCGCTAAATGAAAAACTAATTATTATCATTATTATTATAAGTGCATACTTGCTCTCTAACTGCACATCATATAAAAACTGCATACGTTGGAAATGTACCCACGGTTTTTTTCCACTTCTTGCGGCAGATCCGCTTACTGCTTGCTGATCTTTTTTCAAATAAATCCGAAAAGAATCCGATAGCGACTTCCATTTCTTTTTCATGGTATCGATGGAAAGTGTTCCTAAAAAAGACAGAAATACATAATTTGATAAATATTTTTTTTACTTAACTCAAATAGACCTGACTCAAGTGCAGTCTTTAGAGTATAAAATAATGGAAAAACATTCTAATTACAAAATAACAATAACATTACCACCCAAAGCTACAAACACTTCTTTCCAGAGCTTTTTCTTGATTTGTTGGCTGCGTTCAGTTAGAGGTAGCTTGAAATTCCACAATGCGGGTCGTTGAAAAACTTCATCAATCAGCTGTTCTTCTATGGCTATCTTTTTTGCTTCAAAATCCATTATTGGCTCATTGCACTGGGAAACATTTGGTATATTCGTCATGACGACAGCCTCCGTACCATCAGCCATCAAGCTATTACGAATCACATTTCCGTTCTCTGCAAATAATAATAGTAATAATGTTATTTAGGAATTAGTTTCATGTAGCTTACAGTAATTTTTATATAATTACACAGTAAAGCAAAGTAACTTTTATCAATCATAAGCTATTGTAGTAAGTCAAAAAGTCACAATCACAAAATAATCGAAAAAAGTAATTTATACTCACCGCATTGGGGGTAACAATAGAAATTATCATCAATAACATATTTGTTATAGTTTTTAAAGCATGGATGATACGCCAAATCATCCTGATTATCAAAAATAGTTTCACAAATGCCGCACGTGTATGAAATGTCCTAAAATATAAATAATATGGTTAGGAAAACACAAGATAAAACGTATTCAATGCAAAGAAATAATGAAAGAAAAAATTACAAAGCATCTAACCACATGTTTAGTACTATATCTATATACTATAAATGTATTTATGTATTTATATATACTCACTTTGTATATGTTCATTGTCGAATAACCATCATTTTCAGCTTCCATCTTAATTATTTTACTTATAAAGATTTTACGTACGTATATCTTCTTACATATAATATCACAACACAATTGCACAGCATCACCAAGCATCACAGCACGTTTTTCGGTTTGGCGTTGCCAGCGTTGCTTCGCTGATAGTTCCATTAATCCAACTATGAGCGTTTCTTCGCTGCTTACGCATTTTCAGCGGAGTGGGGGAACTTCGCTAGCGAAGCTTCGCTGCATGAAAAAGCACCTTTACGCATTTCCGTGTTTCCGTACGCTCATGTAATCGCACCCTTAGGCCTGCATACCATAGAGAGAGAGAAAGAGACATCCAACTCTACTGTGTTAATTTCGTATAGCGATTGTAAATGTGAATATATCAAATTTATTTTTTTAAATAATGTAATTAATATGTAAATTTTTTAGGAATTCTACTCCTTAAGAAAGGGAGAATTTCATTTATATTACAACGAAAAATTGTAAAATAAGAATTAACATATCAATGTTGTGCGAGACGAAACATCTATTAAGCGTTTTTACAACCTATTGGATAAAGTTCCAGTTAGATAAGATACATAATAGTTTAAGTTGTCGTAGAGTTATGGATTCTTTAGCGAAACCTGATATTACACGTGGAGATAAAAGACCCATGTTAGATGGTGACAATGAAAATGAAATTAAGATACAAAAAACAGAAGAAAGAACAATACAAAGGATCAAAAGAAAAAACCATGTAATTATGCTGGGCTACCTTGGTAAAAATTATTATGGAATGCAAAGAAATCCTGGTATGAAGACTATTGAAGAAGATTTGGTTAATGCTCTGTTGAAAGCAAATTTGATAACTACTGAACATTTTGAAAATTTACGTGTAATTAATTTTCAAAGAGCTGCACGTACAGATAAAGGAGTATCAGCAGTTAGACAGATCGTCTCATTGAAACTACGTAAGACATTGATAATATTAATATATGAACATTAATTCTTAGAAATATTTACTGAAGTATTTAAGTAAATTTAATAGTCACAACAGTGTTTCAAATGAAAATATTTCTTACAAAACTGAAAACTTAGATTATGATTCAATTTTAAAACAATAGAAAAAAGTTTATACATAAGATATTAAGTAAATTTTATATTTATAATTCAATATTATTAAACATAAAATACTTTTTGCAGCAGAAAACCCAGACAAAACAATAATTAATCAGTTTCTACCTGATGTAATTAGGGTTTTTGGAATAAAACGAGTGACAAAAGGTTTTAACAGCAAGAATCAATGTGATGCACGTACTTATAGATACATCATTCCTTCTTTTACTTTTGCACTAGAAAATCGAAATTTGTTAAAAATTGGAGAAGATGTTGATACTAATGAAAGGATCAAACAGTTATCAACTATTGATGGGAAACCATATATTGACTACAGATTGTCTGCAGAATCTTTAAATAAATTAAACTCAATTTTAAAACTTCTTGAAGGTACTCACAATTTCCATAATTTTACATCAAAAACGTAAGTAATATGCCTTCAAAAGAACATATATTATTACAAAAATATTTATGTTTGTTAGAATATCCAATGCAGTAACACATTTTATTTTATTTAGGAAACCATTAGATCCACGTGCACGTCGTTACATCATCAGCTTCCGTTGTGTAGATACTTTTGTTTCAAAAGATATGGAATTTGTGGTGCTAGAAATCAAGGGGCAAAGTTTTATGCTGCATCAGATTCGTAAAATGGTTGCGATTATAATTGCAGTTGCGAGGAATATCATACCTGAAGAAACAATCAATGAAGCTTTTAAGATGGACAAAATGGAAATACCAATTGCACCAAGCTTAGGATTATGTTTGTGTCATGTAAGAAAAATAGCACACTATATTAGTGTTATATTAAATTTTAATAGACTTCCTGTTTATTAAAAAAAATTGTAAATAATTACATTTTATGGGATATATAATACAATATTGAATTCAATTTGTAGATTAAATGTGGTATTATACTTTATTATAAACTCAATTAATATTTAAATTAAATTTCTTGAGACAAAGATATTTAAGGAATAAATATTTTTTTCAGGTACATTATGATAATTATGCTAAGAGATATGGAACAGATGGTATGCATGAGACATTAGACTGGAAGGAATGTGAAGAAGAAGTAGAAAAGTTTCAAAAAGAACATATTCTGCGATATATAATAGACACAGAAATTTCAGAAAACACGTATCCTTTCAGATAAATGACTTGTGTTATCTTTTTTTTTACCTTAACTTAATTAACATAGGACATTAAAATGGATAGCAGCGCTTCCGGAATATTCATTTAGTAATATGGATGATCTTCCCATGGAAAATGGTGAAAAAGAGGGAACTATGGACAATGACGTGTAGATGTATTACGTATCGATAATTTGGTTTTGTCTCTTTTTGTAGTAAATACATTATGGAATATATTAAATTTTTTAAATTATTCTTTTATTTAAAACAAAACCCTAAATACATAAAAGATAGAATTATCCTGAATGTATCTAAAATGCCTAGAGAGTGCAACATGACATTTGTGTTATCTGGGATACTCCATCAATCGTCTATCAGTTTCATATAAAACTATAAGTTTCCTATTTAGTTAAGTGCAATATTCTGCAAACTTAAGAAAAACAATGACATAAGATTTTTAAGTCATCCATTCTGTGATGAAGCATATATCGTCCTTTCCACGTACGCAAAAAAGTTAGTTAAAACGAGTGTATACATACGTATATCATTATTGTATCTTGTTAATTCATTGGTTATTTAAATTAAATTTGTAGAATATGATTCAAATGAACATATTTCTCTGTGTGATTACATGCACACGCATACACACATACATGCACGCGTATCAAGATGATGCGCACACTTTGCTTTTCCTCCGCTCGGTAATTCCAGTCTCGCGTGGCAACCAACGTGGTCAGTAGATGTGGGCAACGATCTCAGTACATGATTATAAACGGTGAGCCTTAAAGAAACGACGGACAGTGATTACTAATCTCTTGTAAAGTGTATTACCATGTGGATTGTTACACGAATCACTACTTTACTTACGGTTGTTTGCAGTAAGTAAGAAATGTATTCTGTAATATTTATACTGAGGAACTATTAATTTATCCTGATATATAAAACATTTCATAATGGTTAGAACATTTTCGATAACACGTAATATTTAATGCGTGCATAAAAAAATTAAACATACGATAAGCATACTTAATTTACTAATGTAACATTGCGAAGTTATTTAATATACGTGTCCTTAATTCAATTGGTTCTTATTTGTATGAATAAGAGAAAATAAGTAAAAGTAATTTTTTATCATACTTGAATTATTACACATGTCTAATTAAAATATGTTAAAATATTTTCATACTATTTGTACAAAAGTTAATTGCATTTTTGCCATATCCGCATCAGTCAGAGACTTGTTAAGCAACTGCATAATCTTTGCTAGCTCCAGAAACCAGTTTGATGGCCTTGAACCCCAAGTAGAAAACTATCTTACTTGTATGTTTATGTATATATATATTGATAGATAACAGTAGCAATTGCATATTTATTAAGATTCTTTTTATTTTTAATAAACGTAATTAATCAATTTCTATAATTCCCTTTCCATATTGCAAAAAATTTTACATCACAAAAATTTTGTGCAAACAAAATATAACTTTTTCGTACATGTATATCCTCGGTTTCAAGACACTTTAAACATTTTTTTTCAATATAGTTTGGAACGCAGCTGACGGTTCAACAAATTTTTATGATATAGAATTTTTATAATATCGAAAGACAATTAAAGAAATTGATTAATTATATTGGTTTAAAATAAGAAGAATATAATACCCAATCGGAAGCAAATATTTTTTAAACGTTTTTAAAATGTTTTTTTTTTTCATTTATTACTTATTTTCTCAACTCATTATAAAAAAAAATTTTATATAACATTTATTTTATATTTTTTTCGTTAAATATTCATTTAAAAGAATGATTTTCAAAAAAATTTTTTTCAACGTTTTTATAATATTTATTAAAATTTATATAATATTAATTTATTATTTGTAATAATGACTTTTTAATAAACAATGTTTAAACGTTATTATAATATAATTTTTAATGATTTATTTTTAATTAATTATTCGTTTGAAAAATGATTCCTGTAAACATCCTTCACACACACACACACACACACACGCACGCACGCACGCACGCACACACAAATGTTTCTGTAACATTTAAAAAATTTTTTTTATATTTTATATTCGTTTGACATAATAATTTTCATAAATATTTTTTAAAAATTTCTTTAATAATTTTAAATATTTATCTTACATTAATTATTCGTTTGTAATAATGATTTTAATAAACATTTTTAAGCGTTTCTGTAACATTTATAAAAAATATATTTTACATTAATTATTTGTTGAAAATAATGGTTTTCGTCAACTTTTTTTAAACGTTCCTGTAAAGTTTTTAAAATGTATATTTTATATTAATTATTCGTTCGACATAATGATTAAAATAAATATTTTTGAATAATTTTTTAAAGATTTTTTACAATATTTATTTTACATTAATTATTTTCGTTTGGAATAATGACTTCAATAAACATTTTTTTAATCGCTTTTGTAACATTTTTAATTGTTTATTTTTCATTGATTATTTATTTGAACCAATTATTTTTGTAAACATTTTTCATATGTTTCTGTAACATTTTTAAAATATTTATTTTACATTTATTATTCGTTTAACATAATTATTTTCATAAATATATATCAAAAATTTTTTAAACATTTTTAAAATATTTATTTTACATTAATTATTTGTTGAAAATAATAATTTAAGTTAACATTTTCTAAACGTTTCTGTAACACGTTTTTAAAACGTTTATTTTATATTTATTATTTGTTTTATATAATGATTTAATAAATATTTTTCAAATATTTTTTAAACATTTTTAAATATTTAGTATACCTTAATTATTTGTCAGAAATAATGTTTATAGACATTTTTCTAATTCTTTAATCTTCGTGTTATTTTAAAAATATTAAATAAAATAGGCGAATTAATGCGCTCAGATAGCCAAACCTGCACGAACAGATTTCGAACAGAGCTTGCTATCAACTTTTGATGGCAAATAGATAACAAATTTGATGCAGGATATGTTATATTAAATCTTGCTGCCAAATTGCCGCCAGATATGCGGCTGAACTTGTCGGATAATTGCTGCAGATTTGCAGCAAAAACCGCGCAGAGCTTGTAGCGATTTGACGGCAGATTGGCGGCAGAAACCGCGCAGACCTTGCAGATCGCTGCAAGCTTTGCGCGGTTTTTGCTGCAAATTTGGCACCAATTGCCTGACAGCAAGATCTGTCGCCAAAACCGTAGCCTAATGTAGAGACAGATGGTTATGGTGTGGGTTTTTGATCAAATTTGCTGCCAATCTGCGCGCAGTCTGCGCTTAATTTGCTTACTGGGCGTGTATTTGCTGGGTACGTTATAATATACTGTGAACTAGGGATGGGCATCGCCAAAAAAGCATCGTCTGCTAAATAATCGATTTTACATAATCGATTTTTTCTTAAAAGCATCGGAAATAATCGATTAATTTCTATATTTCTCATAAATATCTCATCAAATGTAAGATCCTATGCATAATAGATTAAATATTACTGAAATAGAAATAAATATTAAATATTACAAATATATGTAAAGCAAAGAAATAAAAGAATCTTCTATTTTTTTCTATTTCCGCAATGTGTGTTTAATATTTAATATTTTTCCTATTTATAATATTTAGTCGATTGTACGCAGAGCTTATAATCCAATAAGTTATTTGACGAGGTATGACATCTTTTTGGACTCTCGCAGATGAACTTTCGCAAACTAGGGGCTCGATTCTTGACGGTGTGCGAATGAGATACGCATGCAAAAATCTACATTATACGTAACATGAACTATACATTTTCGCAAGCGTACTCATTCGCATACCGTCAAGAATCAAATTTCAGCGCAATGCAGCGTGCATGCGATACGCGACTCGCGATATCCAATGAGCGTGAGTAGGATTCATTAATGCCTTTACACTTTCGGTATCTAGAGAATTGAACTTTTTCGATCTGATTGGTGCATTTCAATTTATTTCCAGAAATGCACCAATCAGATCGAAAAGTCCAGTTCTCTAGATATCGGAAGTGTAAAGGCATTTATGAATCCTACAGGGCCCATATTTTTGAAATTTTTGCGTATACGTAATTTTCATTGCGCAGCTATTTTATGGTATAATTAAACTTGCGCAATAAAACTTACGTATACGCAATTATTTCAGAAATAAGGGCCCTGTACTGCTATTTGAAAAAAATTGTACATTCATTGGTTATCGCGCGCGGCGTATTGCGTGTTGCGTCGTGCTGGCTGTAGAGACCCTAATGGCTCCTGAACACAGGACGCGGTAATGCTTGCCGCGCGGCGGAAGTCCGCGCGACAGCTAATCAATATGTTGTTTTTCCGTAAGAGCTAGAAGGTTATTACGGAAAGCAGCATATTAATTGGCTGTCGCGCAAACTTCCGTCGCGCGGCAAGCATTACTGCGTCCTGTGTGCAGGAGCCATAAGGCTAGTGGCACACAAAAAAACTTAAACAGTAAAATGTAAGCAGTAAGCAAATTGACTAATCAAGGGGTCGATTGTGTATCTCGAAACGGAGTGAAAATTGATAAAAGTGAACAAATTCACTAGGCATTGACCAATGAAGTTACAAATGTTCTAGTAAATTTGCTCACTTTTATCATTTTCACTCTGTTTTGAGATACACAATCGACCCCCTGAGTCAATGGGCGCATTCAGTAGAAAAAGCGCTCAGTGAGCAATCAACGATTATTGGTTCTTGCTATTAGATCCCTAAATCTAGACCAATTACATTGACAAATTACTCAACTGTTGTGCAACTGTTGAGTCTGCTGAATGCAGCCATTAATTCTCCTTACGGTCCAAGAATTAACGACTGTGATTGGTCAATTTGCTTACTGCTTACATCTTAGTGCTTAAGTTTTTCTGTGTGCCACGGCCCTAAAACAGAGACTGGCCACTCGGTTGCTCTGCGTAATTGGCGCACGGGATGAGGGTCCACAAAATGGCGGCACCAATATAAGTTAGGGCCAGCGTATGAACATTACCGTAGTTCCTCACGCCACCTTACGTGACAATTTTACGTTACGTGAGACATAAGCTGGCGTATGGCAACGCACGAAAACGTTACGTTACGAAAGAATATATATATATTCTTTTATAACGTAACGTAATGTTTTCGTGCGTTGCCGTACGTTCAGCTTAGAGTCAGCGCATGAACATTGCCGTAGTTTCTTACGCCACCTTACGTGACAATCTTACGTGAGACGTAAGCTGAACGTACGGCAACGCACGAAAATTTTACGTTATGTTACGTTAAGCCCATTCTACAATTGCGTGAACGTGGTGTAAGTGGTTGTATGTGATTACGACAACCAATCAGAATAAAGCAATCAGTAAATAAAACATTCGGATTGGTTGATTCTTACGATCATGACTACGCTTACGCAATTGTAGAATGGGCTTAAGGTTGTCACGTAAGACGGCGTAAAGAGCTACGACAATGTTCGTGCGCTGGCCCTTACATCTTATGTAACGTAAAGTTATCACGTGAGATTGCGTAAAAAACTACGGCAATGTTCGTGCGCTGGCCCTTAGGGTGCTTCACCATGCGGCGTAACTCGCGTAAGCGTAACCTGCGTAATATAATTTACTAAAAGTTATGCCATTTTGCAAGTCAACATTCAATACCTAATCCCCATGGCGCGTATTTCGTTAAATTCGCGTAAAGTGTAACCAATAACTTCCTAAAGCTAACCAATAAATGATCAGGCTTTCTATTGTACAATACAACAGAAATACTAAGTTGATTCTCGATTGGTTGTTATTATTTAGGTGTATTGTTAAATACGCGCTATGGGGATAAGGTACTTTATATGTAAGAATGTGTGAAAGTGTAATGTATGTAACTGTACGATAAGGTTAAGATAGTAGTTATTAACAACGTTGCCTACTGAGAAGTGTGAAGGTAGGGAAAATAATTTATTATTTTTGTTATATACTTAGTTCCTTTACTCTAAGAAAAACTGAACTTTTTATTTTTTAACTCTTTATTAGACTGTGTAAATGTATAAAGTATGTTCCTGACATGCAGATTGATATTCAAATGATTGGAAAATGTAATATATTTATGTTTCTGCTGTTTTTAAAAAGGCGATACCAAAATAAAAACAATTTATAGAACATTAATAAAACATAAATTGAAAAAAATCGAAAGTAAAATAAAAATATTACATATATTCTGAATCAAATTTATTTTGCATCTGACTTCACATCGAAATATACATTTTATGATTGAAATGAACAGATATTACTTTGTTTTATTTGTTGTACTGATAAACGATTTTTCACAAGTATTATTTATTAGATTTATGAAAAGTGTTTAAAAAGATAAATGTATATATATATATATATATATATATATATATATTAACTATCATACATTAACTTTTCGTAATAAATAAAAATAAAAACTTATTAAATATTTTTGTAAAATGAAAAAAACGTTTCCAGCTAATATGAAAAATGTTGATTGTTCAGTATTTGGATCATTGTAAGCACACAGATCTTCCTTTTCGGCGAGCAACGTCAAAAATTGTATTTCCAGACGAGCTCTGTCGTGCTATGGCAGCCTTCGCTTGCCTTTTCTCAACCGTGCTAAAAATCCATCTAGCGGATCAGTAACATGCGCTGTTGGTTCTTTCAATGCTTCTATTAAGGCTTCTTGCAAAGCATCGTTTTTTTACTCTAAAATATAATATATATTTTCATATATCAACCGAATTACATTATTACATTAATTGTATCTTTACAAAACGTATATATCATACATATATTATGCATAAATTATAGCATTATAGTTTTTAATTATTTATAATGTTTCTGCAATGTTGTTTTAACATTTCCGATAAAATGTTACAATTCCATGTCTCTGCTATGTTTCTGCAATGTGTTACGTTAAAATTTGAAGTGATGTAACGTTCCTGCAAAATAACTGCAAGCTTATGTGCTGTATGGGAAAGTTTTTACATGCAAAAATGCAAGCAACACGAACACTCTATTGATATACAAATGTAACCTTAAAATATTTTGTATCGACATACCCTGAGTATTGAATCAGATATGACAGAACGCTATTACAACATTATATAATAAACTCAATATAAAGCTATTTCTTAACTTACTCTGATTTTTGATTATTCATTTCTTATTATTGCTTTGCAAAACTTTTTATATGTAACACAATATCCACTTCATCACACCTTTTAGTTCAAACGACTCTAAAAGATATTTTATAGATAGAAGGAGGAGGGCATACTAGGTGGCGGCGGGACGCCATGCGTTCGAGATCTGCATATCTTTTCGTTCCAGAGAGAAAAAAATATCGAGAGCGCGGTTCTGCCAGGCCGGAACTCGAACCCGGGTCTTTCGCTTGCCGGGCAAAGTGCTCTAAACCACTGAGCTACATGACGATCCACGCTCACAACACTCTCCTCTCCCCAGATAACGCTCAGAGATGCCGTTCGGAAGCGACATCTCTGGCGCGATCCCGAGCGCACGGCGACTACAGAGAGAAACAATGTTACTGTACCAAATGGTACAGCTGTCAGTCTCTCAGGGCGTTTATGTGTAGCAATCGGATTTCCAATCGGTTTGATATAATCGCAGTGATATAAATTGTCTAGATAAAAAGTTCCCTAGGCTAATCGGATTACCAAATCGTGTCCGTGAGGAACGGATCGGATTAGCGGATGCAAAGAAACGTTGCGTACATACTTACGTTTCTTAAGAAATAAATATTAAGAAGTAAATAGAAAAGTAAGTATGTGCATTATTATTTTCATTATAATTAACGTGTATTCTTCTACAGATGTATATAGATAAATAAAGATTTATTTCTATTTTACTGATATGTATATATTAAAGAAATAAATACATCTTAACCTAAATGTGCTTCAGTCGTTAACATATAAGTTTAT